TCCTTGAGCCAGCCCTTTACGATCTGTCATTAGCCTCGCCTGGAGGACATTGTACCGATATTGTATGTAATGATCTTTGTACCTTAACCGAAGTATTCGAATTTAATCCTTTTAATTTTCTTTGTATTGAAATCTTCTTTTTCATTTTTAAAATCTGTAGACACGTTGGTAAATTCGTCACTGTCACCATACAAATCATTAACATTACAATACTGGACATGTGAATGTTTTGTTCATGCAGCCTTCCTGATTGTAAACAGTACTTCAAATTTCAAACATAAATTTGTGTACTCTTTGGACAGAATGCTTTGCAATATTTTGAAACTGGCATCACGATTAGGAACTATCTCACATGCATTGTATTTAGGTTTGTTTTACTATAGGAAAAGGAGATATAATGAAGCAATTTATGTAACCAACTTGACTAAACGAAGATTATCAGAGGCCCATGTTATGCGTCAAAGTACTGTAGACAGAAACAGATACAGGGAATATGTGAATGGTCTATCTTTGTCTAGGAGAATGAAAAATGCTTGGGCAGTGTTCATCAAACTTGATCCTGGGATAAGCTTTATTGAGGAATTAACATTAGAACAACTGGCTGATAGTATTTTATATATTCCACCATCTGTATTAGTAGAAATGTTGTCTGTATTATCCCACTATAGACTAGGTGATACATCTCAGTATAAACAGTCACTTACAGACTTACAGACACTGCTGATCTACGATGATGGATCATACGTGCCTTTACAATTTCGACAAATATCCTGGCTGATACTAGGAATCTGTCAGCATGTTGTTGGAGACTTACACGGGGCTTTACAGTCTTATCGAGAGTCGCTTAGACAGGAACCATTTCAAAATTTGCAGAAATCTACAAAACTTAGAATAGACTTTATACAAAATGAGTTGTGTGGAAATGTACATTAAGAACTTTAAATTTCTTAAACCATATCAATTTTGCAATATTAAATGTGCTGACAGAAAAAAAAATGTGCAAAGAATTTTGCATAAAGAATGAATTGATAAACCTACCAAAATCAATACATATACACCATTGTATGTACTCAAAACATTGAAACATTTTTTTCTCTTCAAAGAATTACATGAAAGTACTCGTTTACATTACATGTATGTTTTTAGTTCTGCCTATCCATTTTAGACCTGCCTACCCTTTTACAGAAGTTAAATGTAAAACATCATTTTGGTGTAATTTCAGAGAAACATGTAACTGTGTAAATCTTCATATTTATATTATCTATATTGATGTCTTATTGTTATACTTATAATTATAGTCTAAATATGTCTTTTTATCGCGATATTCTTCGAAATCTCTACAATGTGATGCATGTTTAGGTTAAGAAGTCATTTTATTTAAAATGGACACAATAATTCATGCATTATATTTTATAAAGGGAAAATTTATTTTTGTGGCGTGACAGCATAATTGATAAAACGCGGAAGAAATACGCAAAAAGCGGAAGGGTAGGCAGGACTGAATTCTATTTTTGGTATTGCAACCCGTATTTTAATTTTATTGTCAGCAATATCAAAATTATTTTATTGTTATTCAACAAAAAGATCAATATTCCATTTCAGGATTCATTTTTGGTTTTTATATTTTTTGGTAAATTGTAGATTTCATCATGTTTTTCATCGACATTACTCTTTATCAATTAAAAATTCTGCTGAAATCCACAAGCTTTGTATTTTAATGTTAACATACATGGTTATTTATATATATTTAATTAAATTATTTCAATAAGAGAATTTATAAAAACAATTGTAAACAAGGAAACAATCTACCAATAAATCATTATATTATAAACTTTAAGTCTTTTTCTCTCCTTTAAATACCTTTTTAGCAACTTTCTTTTCTCCCTCCACCTAGTTGGTAAGTCGACCAGACATCTTTGCTTTTTCCTTAAAAAAGGATGTTAGAAAAATTTCAATACTCTAAAGTAAACTTTCTCGAAAACATTCTTATGAATTGGACAAAAAATTTACGATTATCTGACAAGTGAAAGCAATTAATTTATTTTTGATTAATATAAACAACTCATCAAATTTAAAAAATGCACAGAAAAGTAAAGTTATAGTGCTGCAAGAAAAATGTGAAACACTGATGCCCCCGTATGGCAGCTCATGCCGAAAGTTAAAGTTTCTCAAATGCAAGTCAAACTCCATGTCAAGAGATCAAAAATGTTGGTACCCAAAGAAAGATCTTGTCTCGAGGAATATACTTGTGAAATATGAAAGCCCTAGCACCAACCGTTGAAAAGTTATGACGGAGGTAAAAGATTTTTAAAAGTAAACAAAACGTCAAGGTCAAATGGTGCCCAAGGGAAGGTCTTGATACACATGTTCGTGAAATGTGAAAGCCCTAGAACCAAACGTTCAAATGTTATAGCCAAGGTTGAAGTTTTTTGAAAGTAGGTCAAGCTCCAAGGTCAAGGTCAATGCCAAAATTGTTGGTATCCAAAAGAAGGCCTTTTCACAAGGAATATACATGTGAAGTATGAAAGCTCCATCACCAACTGTTCAAAAGTAATTGCCAAGATTAAAAGTAGGTCAAACTCCAAGGTCAAGGTGTCAAAGGGTCAAAATTGTTGGTATTCAAAGAAAAGTCTTGTCACAAGGAATACACATGTGAAGTATGAAAGCCCTAGCACCAACTGTTCAAAAGTTATGGCCAAGGCTAAAGTCTCATAAAATTTTGCAAAAGCGGGTCAAACTCCAAGGTCAAGGTCAAAAGGTCAAATATAATGTTAGTATCAAGAAAGGTCTTGTCACAAGAAATACACTTGTGAAGTCTGAAAGCCCAAGCACCAACTGTTCAAAAGTTATGGCCAAGGTTAAAGTTTTTTTTTTTTAATTTTGCAAAACTGGGTCAAACTCCAAGGTCAAAAGGTCAAATATGATGGTACCCAAAGAAAGGTCACAAGAAATGCACATGTGAATTATGAAAGCTATAGCTCCAACCAATCAAACGTAATGGGCAAGGTTAAAGTTTTTGCGGAAAAACAGACAGCTAGACAGACAGACAGAAGGACGGACAGGGCAAAAACTATATGCCCCCGAAATTTTCGATAACGGGGGACAATAAAAATAAATGACAGTGGTGAATTTTAATAATCCCTCAGCAAAGAGTGGTTTTTCACTTAAAAAATTGACGCATTTTAAACACACGGGACAGTATACTTAAAAATGATCATGACGTTGTAATAGACGTAGATTACATTTGCTTTCGTGCGCCAATGTACACTTATATGCTTTCTTCATTTTTACATTATTTTCTTATTAAATTTGCTAATATCATGAAACTTGAAATTCATGATCATTTAAAAATTGTTGCTTTTTACTATGAAAATAAATAAAATTTAATTTAAATCTAATTTTATTAAGATTGAATCATTTGTAGTATACATTGTGTGACATGTGTTTTTCCCCCGCGTTTATTTGATAAAACAAAACTCAAACTCTAGAAATCAAATAGTTAGGCTAACCTGGATTTTGATGAAGTTAATTAATATATACAATGTGCATGTAGTTTTTACTTTGTATACAATGCTAATAATTATACAGTTAAACAAGCATTTTTATCCATTACATTATACACAAAAATACTGTAGTTAACTATAGTTTACTATAGTTATTATAGTTTACTAAAGTATCAAAGGTTTTTTTTTACTATAGTAAATCAAAGTATTTTTACTACGGATTTCAGATTATTGTTCTATTTTTTTTGTTTTCCTTTTCATACATGAACATTTCATATCAAAAGGAACCATTATTTGTATATTCACATATTATTTCCAAATTTTACGGCACTGTTATAGAATTTACGAGATTTTTTAAAAGCTTCGAAATTTCAAAAAAAAATTCCAGGGTAAAGTTTCATAGTAAATCAAAGAATCCGACCAAGTTTTTACTGTTGTTAACTATAGTAAACTATAGTTCACTATAGTAAATTTTTGTTAGTTTAGGTTTTTAATCCAGTGGGTTTTTTTTGTGCCGAATCGATTAATTATTAATAAGAAGACGGTGCCGCATTGGGGATGGAAATGGGGAGGTAGGGAGGAGGGGTCTCAATTCCGAGCTGTCGGCGCAACAAGATCGAGTGGGCTTCATTGAGTTCATTCGGCAAGGGCGTTACTAGATGTACACGCTTTCAGCAACGTCATTCACTGTAATTTAAATATTGATGTGGAAAATACAATCATTTCAAGAAACGGTAGAACCAAAGAGTTCCAGTACATGTATTACTGTTTTGTATCAATTGCATTTCTCTTACTTTTTCGACAATCTTGGAAGCACTTCAGGTACGTAGTAGGGGGGGGGGGGGGGGTTGCACCCCCACTATTCCCAAACTGAAAAGGCTGGTCACCCTAACAAATTTTTGTTACAGTATATGCATGTAAATCGGGTAATGTTTTAATCAGGTTAAAAATAAAATTTGGTTGGAAAAAAGTTGGTTTAAAAAAGCTTAAGAGAATTTATTGTGTCTTCTTTTGTATAATTTAGTTTATATCCTGCAAGGCTAGATATACGTATATTTTATAAATACATGTATTCAAGCCCCCTCTTATTTTAGATTTCAATATTCATAAAAAAGGGGGTCGTGGAAGCTTCCATATCACATTCGAGGGTGACAAGGTAGTTGAGAAAAGCTGGGTATTCATTATATCAATATTACGAGAAAAAAACTCATCTCTGCACTCTTAATAGCTTGGTATAAAGTTTGTCGTCCAATGATTAATGGATGTGGAAAATACAATAGTTTCAAGAGATCGGTAGAACCAAAGAGCACCTTGTTTAAAATATTCCAGTACATGAGTTACTGTTTTGTATCAACCATTCAATCACATTTCTCTTACATTTTTCACAATCTTCTTGGAAGCACTTCAGGCACGTAGTATCGGGTGGGAAAAAGGGGGGGGTCTAATGCATGGATTTGGATTGGGTCGGGATCGGTATTCTGGTAAACTAGAATTTCCGGTAAAATGGAGCAGCACGTGTGAGAATGTTGACAATGTTTTCATTCTTGTGATAGATGTTGAACAATGGGTTCGAATAAAAAACAACTCAAGGAAATTAGTAAACAAAAGAAGGGAAAAGGAAAAAGATGGAAGAAGGGCCAGAGTAGCAGTAGTAACCCTGAAACTAAAACATTTCGGGAGGCTGCCAAAAACAGATTTTTCCAAACATCGAAAGGTTGTTTTCGAATGTCGCTTCTTACATTAATTTGTATCCGATTTATATTGCCTCTTTAATTTTTTCCTAACCAGAGACATATTATTTCTGTCTCTTTTCTTACAATATGTCCCATAAACAGGTCTGGTACAATCATTAGATTTAGCTACGTAGCTCACAGGGGCATCTTATCCGCTCTGTTCTCTACTACCCATAAAAAAATGTACACAAGGGAAAAATCGAAAGTAGGACACCGCACACAAAGTAATGTACAGTTACTCAAACAATGAAAATACAGCTTTGGCTTAAAAGTGTTCAAATGCAGCAATGTTTAAACTATCTCTGCTTTGGATTGCTTTTTTAAAAATCCCTAGTATAAATGATATGTTGTCGGTGCGACCGTTAGGGCGAGTGCAGAAACTTATTCAGTTTTAATTTAGATCGGGCTCAATCGTCAAACTGCATGTAACATTTGGTATGTCTAGACTCTGATGTCGTATTTAAGTTGCATTACTAAACTGAAGCCTGAACATTATTGACTTTAATGAAGAACGTGTTATTTACTATTTATCTGCAATATTTCCATGAAATCAAGGCTAGTTTATTTTTTGTTAAACACTTGTTGTTATTCTCATGAGTACGTAGCTAAAACAAGCGATGCTTTGTGGGTCCGAAAGTTACTGTGAAAGTCTGAATTTTCTTTTGACCCAGTCGTTGTCGTAAGAGCTCGCTGCGCTCGCTATTGATAGTCACATACTTGAGATTTTTTGTCTTTTTTAAATAAAAAGCAAAATTGTGAAACATTGCATTGAAATAGCTAAATAAAGCTACGTGAGGTAGCTAAATAAAGCTACGGTAGGTAATTCTTGCTATGTAGCTACGTGTACTGATTGTACTGGACCTGATAAACATGATAAATTGTAAACGGCTATCACACTATGTTCTCGAGATAACCAAATAGAGGATTCACAAATAAGGAACAAATTAACCTTGCTTAAATGGAAATTGCAGATAATATTGTAGATTAAATGCCATTTGTTAAAAAATTGCTCTTTTTACTCTCCGTTCTGGAAATCCAACTAAACTACACTATCATATCAGTCTAGACATTCCAAATGTCTTGTGTGGTGTGAAGGTGGATCAAATTTAGGCATGTTGAAATTGAATAGGGTAATGAATACATAACCGTACTCACCCCAACACTCTCACCATTAATGTATTATTTCTCACATCTATAGCATGACTTATTCTGTTTAATTCAATTGTTATACATTTTGCATACCCATCAGATTCTTTTTGATACTGGATTTATCATGAAAGTCTGGCAGTAATTATGCATGCTTAGTCTTGGTCTTGTCATCTGCACACAGACAATTACCATCAACTTACTTTTTGATTTTTTTGAAACAGGAGAAAGTAGCCTTACTGTTGATGCTTTGGCTAAACATGATGAAGAACAGGCAGATAAGGATGGAGATGTGAGCCTGCGAGCCGAGTCAGATATTGTCAGTGCTGCTGGAAAGACGTTTAATACCTGGGCAACAAACTGGACAGAATGTACCAACACAACTTTTAGTCGCGTACATAGGTACTGGGCATCAAATTCAGCTTTTCATAAAGAGGTAAATGAAATTATTTTAGAGGAGATTTTCATCCAGTACTCCAAGTCACACTATCTGGTCGCTAAATGGCGATCCATATTTTTTCTTGGTCGCCATTTCAAAATATCTGGTTGCCATCAACAGATATTTCATTTGCCTAACCCTTGGTGAAAACATTTTGTGAATAACACATTTAGTATATTAAAAAAGCAAGGAACAAACACTCATATATGTACATGTATAGTGTCTTTTTTAAATTAAAGATTACTTATTACTGTGACTAAACAATTTGCTAAGCTGAAGAAACTACTTTTGACATATTGTTATTACATAGAACCACCCGTATGGTTGTACACTACGAACACAAGGGATTTTATCCTAGAATTGAAGTTAAATCAAATGAAATACTTGAATGAATTGCTACAAGTTTGACTGATGTGTACATCAGATGGAAACTTTGAGATAGGAATTTGTTAGCTGTTTGACATCACTACGTTATCATATCTAACCTATACAGTTGCTGTTTATATTGCCAAAACATGATGAAATGCAAGCAATATTGACCAAATCTCCATGAACAAGGTCATGTAGTAAAATTTCTACAACATTTGGCAGCCGTTCTAGCAGCAAGCTGTCATAACATGTAATCTGAGTCTTTGTGATGCTTTACAAAGCTTTAGGAATGTCTTAAAACATTTTCTTGATAGAGAATCTTGGAAAAAAGGTAATCTTGATCCCAATTATAAAAATGGACAATCTCAAGCCCAAATTTTCTCCATCGTGAAAATGCGAGTTGGTTTAATTTCTAGTTGGAAAATCAATTTTTTGGTCATAAATGCATGATCAAATGCCTTACCCCTTATTCTCCAGGTATTGTGCCCTGGATATCTTAAATCCTTTGATATCTCTCAGTTTTTTTCTCAGTCCAATTGAGTTAGAGATAACAAGGTTTGACTGTATTTAACAAAATAATGGTTAAAAGACACTTATGAGGCTTTTTTTTTTTGTAGGTGTTAGCTGTGTTAGCAGCAGTTACAGAGGTGATAAAAACCCAGGGAGGTTCCGAATCAGAAACGGAATACTTTGCTGCTCTGGTTTGTTTTTAACTTTTCCTCAGCTTTCTGTTTTATGATCATCATGTATGAAGTCCAGGCATTTTATCTTAAACTGCTAGAAATGACCCCGTAAATGCCGTATAATTAAACAATCTCTCAAGTAGATGTACATGTAGACTTTTTCTGAATTTTTTTTTTCATTTTCTGACCATTTCTAGACCCTGATTTCAGTATTAGGAGTTATTCCAAGTTAAACATTTGAAAAGCAATTCTTGAATTAGATTTATGTACTGGTAGTTCATGATTAATCACTGTAATGGTAGGAACAGTTTTATGTGTGAACTGATATTTGTTATGACAGATGACAGCACTAGAGACAACGGAGGGGGAAGAATCAGTATCAGCTGTGGCATATCTTCTCAGCTTAGTCATGAAAAGGTCCGTCACTGTGTACATAACAGTATTACTGTTAGAGAAGTGCTTTTACTATCAATGATGTAAAAAGTGTCTTTAAATTTGTTTTTTGATTTTTATTTAGCTGTTTTATTTTACATGTATTACAATAAAACACTGGTAGAACTTTTTTACATTAATTTTATTACAATAGAACACTGCAAGAACTGTTTTACATTTATTACAATAGAACACAGCTAGAACTGTCTTACATTTATTACAATAGAACACTGGTAGAACTGTCTTACATTTATTACAATAGAACACAGCTAGAACTGTCTTACATTTATTACAATAGAACACTGGTAGAACTGTTTTATATTTTCAGAATCCCTGCTCCAGTCTTGAAGAGTAGGTTTGCAGAAATTTCCAAAGAATTTCTAGATGTTCTTGTAAAGTACAGTGAAGGACAATCCCCTGCCCTCCTTAAATCTGTAAGTGCCTAGATTCCCACAGCCCAATACTAGAAACATTATAGAAAAACATGTACTGTAAACCAAATAATACTTTGATGACCTTTAGTCGCATCAGTTAGTTTGAAATGCATCCAAGAATTCTAAGTTTGGGGACAGGGGAAACATTCTACATACATAAATACATAATGAAAAAATGGTTCATGACAAGAAATATTTGTGAGTAACAAAAAGTCGCAAGACACAGATATTTCACACAATTAAAAATTGGTTACAGTATTCCATTTTGGTCTCTACGTACATAAATATGGCACATAACATTTATGTAAATGATTTTTAAAAAAAATTAATTTGTAGTTGTTGCTGTGTCTTGCTTTGCTGCTCAGGGTTCAAGACCAAGCTACGTGGAGTAACTCATCAACACAAAGAGTGTATCAAGGTCTGCTGGCCTTCACTGTCAACAAAAAACCCAAGGTATTACATCACTTTCAACAAAAAACCAGGTATTATCACTGGTTAACAACAAAAAACCCAGGTATTATCACTGGTCAACAAAAAACCCGGGTATTATCACTGGTCAACAAAAAATCCAAGGTATTATCACTGGTCAACAACAAAAACCCCAAGGTATTATATCACAGTCAACAAAAAAAACCCAAGTATTACCACTGGTTAACAACAACAAGAAAAACCCAAGGTATTATCACTGGTCAACAAAAAAAAAAACCCAAGGATTATCACAGTCAACAAAACCCCCCAGGTATTATCACTGTCAACAAAAACCCCAATGATTATTACTTTCAACAAAAAAACCCAACTTGAAGGTATTGTCACTGGTAAGTGAAAAACCCAGGTATTATTATTGCCAGGTATTATCACTGGTCAACAAAAAATCGGTGTGTTCCCGTTTTGCACACATTTGATAATTAGGTATAGAACAATAGGTGTGAAATATGTTTTGATAGCAATTAGAGTCTGATCTCTATCTGGGATTTACCTGCAATTACCTGTATTTAACCAATGCATTATAATATATATTTAAGGGAATACATTAGGAAAATTTTACTTATCCACCCGAAGATGAAGTTGATAGTTTAGACAAATATCCCTATTACAGTTAACCCTTTTTATTTATTTCATAAAGATAAAATGAATAAGTAAATGAATTCAATCTTGATTCATAAAAAAAATAACCCGTCCAGTTAGTATCATGTGCATATAATTATAGTTTTGATTTGTATTTTGATATTTTTTTATGTTTTAAAATCATTTTTTAATAAACAAGTCAAAATATCAAGTGGAAAATTAACATTTTTTCTTCTATTCTTTCCGTAGAATGAATATCTTTCTCCAAATTCACAACTATGATATAGACTATAGCAATTAAGTAATTATCTTACCTGGACAAATTCCCGTTTTGCACACATTTTTTCAATACCTAAAATTCAAATGTGTGTAAAACGGGAACAAACCAAAAAATCCAGGTATTATCAGTGGTTAACAAAAACCCAGGTATTATTATTGGTAAAAAAAACCCCAGGTATTACACGTATCAGTGGTCAACAAAAAACCCAGGTATTATCACTGTCAACAAAAACCCCAGGTTTTATCACTGGTCAATAAAAAAAAACCCAGGTATTATTACTGGTAAATAAAGCCAAGGTATTATCACTGGTCAAAAAAAACCCAGGTATTACATGTATCACTGATAAACAAACACCCAGTTATTATCAGTGGTCAACAAAAAACCCAGGTATTATCACTGCTTAACAAAAAACCCAGGTATTATCACTGCTCAATGAAAAACCTAGGCATTATCACTGTCAAAAAGAAAAAAAGAACAACAGAACATTTTAACACTGGTCAGATTGAATTGTTTCTTTTCTAGATGTGGTAACTTTTATTTTGTTCTTTGTAACTTTCTAAAGATACTGACTATAATTTAAATTGATGGTTTATTTTTTTCATAGTTTAATTAAAGTCTTTCTGTAAACAATTTTTTCATTAATAATAACAAATGGCATAATTTAAACTAGAAGATTAAGTTGACTGTGTTAACCGTTATGTCCCTTGTTTTTCAATCGATTTGATTGTTCATATAAATGCATAATGTAACATCTATAGTCATGTACATATACTACCATTACTTGACATATGGTAATTGACATGTAAATGTACATTAGAGGTTAAGATTATTATGCGTACTGTGTAACTTGGTAACTGTATTAAAATAAACACATTTTTTAGTGTACCAGAGGTAAAGATTATTGCCTGTACTTGTACATGCCGTACAAATAGCTTCCAGTAGATATTTTATGTATGAGAAGAGGTTCATATATCTTTGGACAAATTATTGGCTGTAAATGTTGCAAGTACATTCAGAAAATTGTGTCCATTATTCATTTTTATGATTATTCAGAATGTAGGTATATGGGTCTCACAGTAAGTTTTTCTGATTTGATTTGAACATATTTTATTGTAATTTATAATTACAAAGGGATTGGGCATAAGTTCTGAAAACTTATTACGCCCTCTCCCTAAGTCTTTCTGATATTAATCTGAGTTTTTTGTAGGTGAGAAAGGCTGCACAGCAAGGTGTGAATATTGTCCTGAGGGGGAGCATCTTTATGAACCCAGCAGAGACGGCCCCTCCCCATCACCCCGCCAGCTCCATGACGGCCAAATTCTGTATTCAGGTCATTGAGCAATGTGGAGGTTAGAACAATGTTAAACTATGCATTCCAATTAATGAGTGCAAGAAATAATTCTTGTTTGATATTTCTCAGAATATATATTAAGGACCCTTCCTTGACCAGTTTGGGTGGATTTGTAAAATTCTAGTTTTTCAAAATGACAGGGATTTATGATGAACAAAAAAATAAAAATTCTTAATGTCGTAATTTGATAATTTTAGGATCTATTGAAAAATAATTTAATAAACAAAGTTTTCTTGTTTTATTTTTTACTACAGGTTCTACAGAATCTTCAGACACTCTGTACATCCTAAGCTTATTAAAAGACATAATGTGTACATTCTCTCTCAGTAGTCTCAAATCAGTGTGTGAGACCATACTCAGAGTGATGACACTCAGTAATGTGGTGAGTACTGATAGAAAATACAGTGTGTGAGACCATACTCAGAGTGATGATACTCAGTAATGTGGTGAGTACTGATAGAAAATACAGTGTGTGAGACCATACTCAGAGTGATGACACTCAGTAATATGGTGAGTACTGATAGAAAATACAGTGTGTGAGACCATACTCAGAGTGATGACACTCAGTAATGTGGTGAGTACTAATAGAAAATACAGTGTGTGAGACCATACCGAGTACTGATAGAAAATACAGTGTGTGAGACCATACTCAGAGTGATGACACTCAGTAATGTGGTGATTACTGATAGAAATTACAGTGTGTGAAACCATACCGGGTACTGATAGAAAATACAGTTTGTGAGACCATACTCAGAGTGATGACACTCAGTAATGTGGTGAGTACTGATAAAAAATACAGTGTGTGAAACCATACCGGGTACTGATAGAAAATACAGTTTGTGAGACCATACTCAGAGTGATGACACTCAGTAATGTGGTGAGTACTGATAAAAAATACAGTGTGTGAAACCATACCGGGTACTGATAGAAAATACAGTTTGTGAGACCATACTCAGAGTGATGACACTCAGTAATGTGGTGAGTACTGATAGAAAATACAGTGTGTGAGACCATACTCAGAGTGATGACACTCAGTAATGTGGTGAGTAATGATAGAAATTACAGTGTGTGAAACCATACCGGGTACTGATAGAAAATACAGTGTGTGAGACTTTCCCCTCTAGTGATGACACTCAGTTATGCTTTAGATTTGTTAATTCTGTAACTTTACCATGAGTCTATAGCATTTAGATTATAAAGTGTCCTGCTCTGGGTTAGTTTATACTGTGAAATCACAAATTTTCGTGGGGGTTTAATTTTCATTGTTCTCTAACATGTAGTTTTCAGAGCCCAGTGGATTAATGTCCTCCATGAAATGTAATAAAAATTTCAAACTACAGTATCATATTTCTTCTTCATCTATAAAATCTAATCCCAAGGAAACAATATTTTTTTCCCAAACCTGACAAAAGTAAAAGTTTTTACAGTATATGTTTTCTAGGAATTGTAGTCTAGGAAGATGTTATAAATATCATGTGTGATACATATAGAATTGTTAATCGACTGATATTTGCTTGCTGTAAGGTTCATTTACCAGTATGTGTAAAATATTTATGTCTTTACAAAATTTTATTTTTGCAGATGGTGACATCTTGTGGAATGAAGGCATTATATGGCCTCTTTAATGGAAATCCAAGGGCTACAACTCTGAATGCAGAACTGAATGCACAAATGATAAAAGTAGGTTTAGCGAGAAATACATGTACACTTATTGTAACCACACAATACAATTATGTATAGCTCATAAGGGTGTGGCCAGCTGTCAATCATTTCTATATTGACCTGTATGTTTTAGGCTCTGTACGAGTACCATCCTTCAAATAATGACGTGCAGCCATTGAAGGCGTGGCTAGCAGTAATGGAGGCAGCACACAAGAACCTGACAAGGTAAAGTTAAACATTCCGTGTTTCAAATTACTACATACTGTAGATTCCTTATTTTACAAGAGTACTTTATATATCACGAAATGGCCCTTAGACGTCAAATCAATAATTTGCGAGTAGACATTTGATCTAGAGGTTTTACATGCATTTCAGCACCATAGAAATAAAAGCAAGTAATTTCATTTTGCGAGTGGAAATTACGTGATAATCAATTCCTCACATATATATTTGGGAATTTACCGTACTGGACAGATTAGGTTATTGGCGATTTTTATAAGAATTAAAAGGATTCTCCTCCTTGAGCCTCATAACTTGGTTATTTTCTTTATCATTTGAGGTTTGTTTTGCATATATATACAGCTACCTCATTCAACAAGTATGACATATGGAATATTTAAGTGGAATATTTTTTAAAAAATAGAATACGTAGATTTTTTTTTTGGAAGGAGGAGGGTAGGGTGGGATGAAATACAAATTGAATGGATTTTAAGTATTCTAACTGTCTCTTTAGCATGAATTTATGTGTGCAGTCATGAAAGAGATACTAACACAATCCAAATCAAAAAAGGAAAATCAAAATTCCTTTTTTTTAACCCCACATTTCAAATCTGAAGCCATTTAGGCCACAATATCATATAATGCAGCTCCTCCAGTCATTTTTACAACACAAAAAACCAATGAAATTTAAACTTGTGGATCTTTTATTCTACAAAGTCAACGTTTATAAAACATGTTTCATGTTAAAAGAAAACTGTTTGAGGAACGTTCCTCTTTCTCTTAAATTTCTCTGTATTATAAACATGAATCTTAATACCTTGTATTTGGAGGAACGTTCCTCTCTTCAATTCAAATGTATGTAAAGTACATGAATCCTATCCAACAGTGATTTGAAGAATGTTCCTCTCTTTGATAGAGTTGTGAAGTCCATTACATGATTCTTATAACCCAGTGTTTTGAGGAACGTTCCTCTCCCAATTTCAAATGAACTTAATATATACATGAATCTTTAACAAGGAGCCCTGCGAGGAACGTTCCTCTACCAATTTCAAACGAACTCAATATATACATGAATCTTTAACAAGGAGCCCTGCAAGGAACGTTCCTCTACCAATTTCAAACGAACTCAATATATACATGATGAGAATCTTTAACATGGAGCCCTGCGAGGAACGTTCCTCTCCCAATTTCAAACGAACTCAATATATAGATGAATCTTTAACAAGGAGCCCTGCGAGGAACGTTCCTCTCCCAATTTCAAACGAACTCAATATATATATACATGAATCTTTAACAAGGAGCCCTGCGAGGAACGTTCCTCTCCCAATTTCAAATAAACTCAATCTACATGAATCTTTAACAAGGAGCCCTGCGAGGAACGTTCCTCTCCCAATTTCAAATGAACCCAATATATACATGAATCTTTAACATGGAGCCCTGCGAGGAACGTTCCTCTCCCAGTTTCAAATGAACTCAATATATACATGAATCTTTAACAGGGAGCCCTGCGAGGAACGTTCCTCTCCCAGTTTCAAATGAACTCAATATATACATGAATCTTTAACAAGGAGCCCTGCGAGGAACGTTCCTCTCCCAATTTCAAACAAACTAGGTATATACATGAATCTTTAACAAGGAGCCATGCGAGGAACATTCTTCTCTCAATTTCAAATGAACTCAATATATACCTGAATCTTTAACACAATGAGCTGTAAGGAATGTTCCCCTACTTTACAGTTTTTTACTTAATACATGAATCAAAGGATATCTTTATCTCCATATTCCACTTAGTGTAATTTACATAAATGAAGCATAAACTGTTTGTATATTTCTAGCTTTGATTTGTCCAATTATTTAAATTTAATTGACAGGTGTTGCAGATGCATAAACAATGTTATGCTGAAGGTTTTTTTTACATTTACACATGTACTTTAGTGTTCCTTCTTTCACAGCATTCATGTAACATGTTTCACTCTTGGTTGGAAGGTGAACCAGATAAGTATGCTATGCAATGCAGAGGATTTTACACAAGTATCCTATTCGCAATGTTGAAGGTGTCCATACATTTCTTTCCATTTACTCACACAAGAGAACCTGAAAAATGAATTTACAAGTATTATATAAAATCATAGATAACAGTATACAGTTAAAGTATATCATTGAGGGAGTCAAGAAGATTCCAGTCCCCCAAGAGCAAGTGCATTTCCTGAAGCACAGTCATTTTTATTATAACAAAACCAAAATTAGACTATTTTAAAATCCGTAACTGCAATCCTATTTTATTCACATACAATTTTGAGGTGCGCTATGGAAACATTGATTACTCATAATATAGAAAAAAATAAATATAGTCTTTGCATTTGAATCTACTGTCTATAAACTATGTATCTGCAAGAAACTTTATTTATTTTATAAACAATTTACACCATGGTGTAACTTCAATTTCTTCATTGATTTTACAAGATTCAGGTGTTACCCCAGTGATGTCATTTCATTCACTTGTACACTGTGACAAAATTACATGGTCCGTCTAGATCTCACAGTGCACATTAGTTTACCATGTTGATGACACAATAACAAATTACTCTTTCCCAAAAATTAGGCCCCGCCTCCTTATATATATCTTTAACTAAGCTTCATTATGAATATTCACGATTTTATTTGGAACATATCAGTACTTTTCATATGATTAAAAGAAATTGCTAGATGTTCCAAATAGGTGTGTATCAGTTCATCAAACTGATGCACCTTTTTGCAGGGAATCAGTCTGTTATACAGTGATTTTCAGGGAATCAGCAAAATATATGGATTAACTCATATAGTGAACAAGAGGCCCAGGGCCGCATCGCTCACCTGAGCAATTTGGCTAGGAAAAAGCAGAAATCAGTTCAGTATTGAAAAGATTACCGGGGGAGGGGGGTCTTGAATTTTCAACTACTTGAAGATGCTTCCATGTCAATATAACAAATGGCTTTGTTGTACTTGAGAAGATTTTTTTAAAAAATTTCCCATATATTCCTTTGTAAAAATTTGATCCCCCATTGTGGCTCCTCCCTATCCCACAGGTCATCATTTGAACAAACTTGAATCTACACTACCTGACGATGCTTCCATATCAATATGACTAAACAAAGCTTTTCTGTTCAGAATTCTTGAGAAGAAATATTTTTTCTATAAGTTCTTATGTAAAACTTCCCCCCCCCATTGGGCTCCACCCTACCCCGGGGGTGTTCATTTGAACAAAATTGAATTTAAACTACCTGAGGATGCTTTCATATCAAAATGACTACCGGTAAACATGATTTTCAGTTCTTGAGAAGAAGATATTTTCCTATATGTTCCTATGTAAAATTTTTGATCCCCCGTTGTGGCCCAGCCCTATCCCCAAGGGTCATCATTTTAACAAACTCGAATCTACACTATCTACACTACCTGAGGATGCTTCCATATCAAAATGACTAATCATGGCTTTGCAGTTCTTCAGAAGTAGATATTTTCCTATATATTTCTATTTAAGACTTTGATCCTCCATTGTGGCCCCACCCTATCCCTGGGGGTCATGATTTGAACAAAATAGAATCTACACTACGAGAGGATGCTTCCACATAAATATGACTAATCATGACTTTGCTGTTCTTGAAAAGAAGATTTTTCCTATATATTTCTATGTAAAACTTTGATCCTCCATTGTGGGCCTGCCCTACCCTCAGAGGTCATGATTTGGACAAACTTGAATCTACACTACCTGAGGATGCTTCCATATAAATATGACTCATCATGGCTTTGCTGTTCTCGAGAGGAATATTTTAAAGGTTTTTCCTATGTATTTCTATGTAAAACTTTGATCCTCCATTGTGGCCCTGTCCTACCCCCAGGGTCATGATTTAAGGATACACCAAAGGTTTCCAAAAGCCAGAGTTTAATTTGCATGTAATTCTTTCATTATCTAAGATAACATAATAAAAGTATATATATCATTTGAAAGCTTGTTAAATTTACTATCTAATTATCCTAATTTAAACTTTAATTAATAACTTATTTAAAAGTTATTTGAATATTAATGTAAATTTAAGTGCATAAATAGTTTATAAATCAACTTTTTTGTATTTAACCCCTCAAAGTGGTCATTTTGCCTCAAAGTAGATTAAAGATTGAACTTTAAAACTGTATCTCAGATTTTTGATAAATATTCTAATTCAAAAGTTACAGCCATTTGCCCTTCAATATCACCAATTTATTAGCCTGATTTAACATTTCCCTCAATAATTCCAAAACTAAGCTAGATATCAAAAATCTGAGATACGGTTTTGTGAACACGCATCTGAGAAGCAACCCATCCAATTTTCAGAGAAATTGGTCAATAAATAAGGGAGCTGATACCACAAACTGTCTGATCTTACTTTACAGTAGAGGGCAAAAACCCATTACACAACAAAATCTGCCAAAGCTAGGAATATATGACACCTTGGAGATTCAGCTTTGGATACCTGTCACTTAGCCATATTTCCTATGCATATTCACAAGAATGGGATTTAGATGCTTTTAATTAAGTAAAATAGGTTCAATTCTGAATCAGAAAGATTTCCCGGCAAATTGGCAAGAGCTAAGCTCCACCTCCTATTTTATGGTCATTAGTAATCTGTTAGATCTCCTTCTCTAAATCTAGAGTCCCTGTAGTTTAATTACTGATAACCTCTGTGTGGCTAGTGAAGAATTCCCCAAGTGGTCACAGTGATTCATTGCGTCTTTCATGAGCTAGCAGTCACAGATCAAATCAGAAGCTTCAATAACGGAACATTCACATGTGGTAGTGTTTATGTTTCATTATTGTTAAATAATTAGAAAACCATTTCATAATTACCAAGAATTTTACATGCATTATAAAGCAGTAATTAACTTCTTTTTCTTAACCAAAAATCTCAAAATTGTTGAAAATCTTGAAAAAAGCCTTTGGTGTATCCTTAAACAAACTTGAATCAACACTACCTGAGGATGCTTCCACATGA